GGCGGGTGGGGTGGGTTTGAGGTCTGCTGGCCTGGAAGGCTCATGCCTGTACACCGAGGCCCGGTGTGCCCCAGTCATTGGCCGTGTTGCTGTCTCCTGCAGGCTCCAAGGAGTCCCTGTTCTCCTGCACCCTCACTGCCAGCGAGGAGGCCATGGCGGAGCTGGAGGAGGTCATCCTGTATGCCTTTCAGCAGTGTGTGTACTACGTCTCGAAGGTACGGCGGCGGGCAGGTGTGTTCTCGTGGCTCCCTTCGGAGTCCTTGGGGAAACCGAGTCTTAGGACTCAGAACTTAGCAGAGGTCAGGCCTGGAACAGAGGCAGGCGGGGTGCGAGCTGGCCCCCCTGTTGGTGTGGCTGGGCTCACGCGGTCCCGGGGACGTGCCTGAGCCCCACTCTCTCGTCAGCAGGGAAGAGCCTTACCAGTCACCCAAGGCAGGGAAGCAGGGTGAAGGGAGAGGCGGCCCTGAGGCGTGGGCCCTGGAGGCCCGCGTGATGACCAGAGGGGGTGTCAGAGCAGCCAGTGGGGGGGACACTCCCCCTAGCACATGAGGGGCAGAGGGGGCGAGGACGCAGAGGTGGGCCCCGAGGCGGTCACCCACCTGGGAGGACCTGGGGGGACTTGCATGGTGCCGGGGGCAGGGGTGTGAGAGGTCTGCGGGCTGTCCTGGGGCTGCTCAGTGGAAAGAAGGTTGGTGGGTGGCACTTTGGGGGCAGTGACTGGAGAAAAAGAGAGTGTTTCCCTGTGTGTTCTGCACGGAGCTGGGGCAGTTAGATAGAGCTGCTCCGTGTGCAGCTAGGTCTGGCTGCTGGAGTCCTGTGTTGAGAGCCAGACTGAGGGTGGATCTGGCTGAAAAGGAAGCAGTCCCCCACCCACGTGCTCATATAATCCCTGGGCTCCCAAGGGAGGCACAGACTCTTCGGGTCACCTCGGGGTGCAGGGGCCATAGGACTCCTCCTGGAGGTGACACCTCTGCTTGTGTCCAGAGAGCATTGTTGAGGCCTGTGAACCCTGAGTAGATTCTGGCGCCTGTCCTGCCAGGAGCAAACACCCTTTAGGGACCTCGGACCTCCCGGGTGCCCCTTGGTGGCTGGGCCCCCCGAGCGCTGCCTACAGGCTTGCTCTGGGTGCGGGCTGGGGCCCCGCGAGCCCCCCCCTTCCTGTCCGGGAGAGCGCTCCTGACGCAGGGGCTGAGCCTTCTCCATCAAGACCCTCTGGGGTGTTTCCAGGCATTGCTGGGGCCTCTTCTCCCCCCAGGCTCGGTTCCCCACTTTTGTCGTCTCCCCTCCCCCCCCAGGACTCAGTGCGCAGGTGGCTCGCCGCGGCCTGGGCGCCCGGCAGGCAGGTGACCGGCTGTGCAGGCCGCCTGCCAACGGCTGGTGCCTCCTGTCCCCACAGTCCCTGTACGTCTGCCTCCCGGCCCTGCTGGAGTGCCCCCCGTTCCAGGCGGGGCTCCAGGAGAGCTGGTGCTCAGCCCCCCAGCTGCCGGAGGAGCTGCGCCGTGTCGTGTCTGTCTACCAGGTCGCTCTGGACCTCTTGCGGCAGTTCCAGGTGCACCCCGAGATCGCCTCCCAGGTGCTGGCCTACCTCTTCTTCTTCTCCAGCACTCTGCTCTTCAACCAGCTCCTGGACAAGGGTGAGGGCCTAGGGCTGAGAACCCCTCTGCGGAAAATGCCGTCCCTGGCCAGGGCATCTGGTCAAAGGGGGTCCAGACACCCAGGCGGGGCCAGAGGTGCTTCCCTGGAAGCGTCCCCAGGGGCACTGTCCCTCAGTGCTGCAGAGAGGGTGCCTGGTGTCCCACCACAGCGCCCGCCCCGGGACCGTGGTTGGAACGGGCTTCGGAAAGTGACGTGACCTTCAGCCCCGTTGCCCGTCCCCTCCACTGCCCAGGTGCCCAGGGTGCTACTGGGGTGCAGGACTGGGAGAGCAGAGTGGGGTGGGCCCATAGCATGCGCAGCTCACTCACGTGGACCTCCCAGGGAGGGGTGGGGACACGGGGGTCACTGCGGACCTGATCAGTACCTTTGCGCTTGGGATTCAGTGACTGTACAGCCCCTTGACCCGCCACCTCCACCTTTCACCTCCGGTGTCCCCTGCTCCCCCGGGAGCAGGCTGGCTGCCCTGGGAACTGATGTAAGCTCTCCTGCCTGCCCTCTAGGCCCGGAGGGGGAGGCAGCCCCGGGTCCAGCTGGGCTCTGGCTCCCTCTGTGACCAGGACTGCCCGACATCACCTCTCGCCCTGACCCTCCCCACCAGGACCCTCCCTGAGTTGCTTCCACTGGCCCAGAGGTGTCCAGGCCTGTGCCCGCCTGCAGCAGCTCCTGGAGTGGACACGGGATGCTGGCTGTGGGGAGGCTGCCGAGTGCTTCTTCCAGAAACTTTCCTGTACACTCAACCTGCTGGCCACCCCCAGTGCCCAGCTCGTCCAGGTAGGTAGGGCCCGGGGGTGGGCCACATGTGGCTGCTTTTAGGTCCCTGCCTATAAGCCAGGCCTGAGCTGGGGACCTGGCTTCTGGGCCTCAGAGAACTCGAGAGCCGCTCTGTTAACAGCTGTGCCCAACTATAGGGAGGCCATGACCCCAGAGGTGGATCTTGTCCCCGACCTGCAGCTTTGTGACGCCACGTGACCAGGGAGCTCTGCAGATGTGTCCAGAGGGCCAACCTTCCACTTCCAGGGGCCACCCTTGTCCTTAAACACAGAAGAGCAGGTCAGGGAGACAGAACAGAAGGGGGATTGGCCCACTCTGCTGGCCCAGAAGGTGGAAGAAGAGCCCAGGGCAAGGGACACAGTGACCCCTGGAGACCAGGACGGTGCTGAGCCGCCCGGCATGCTGTGGGGCCCTCTGTCCCACAGCCGCAAGCACCCGGACCCTGACCAGCTCAGAGAGCAGAAAATGAGTCTCCCTCCCTCAAGCCTCCAGGGGAGCACAGCCCCACCTGCACTTGACCTGCCCGGGGGGGGGCGGCTGTGCCCACGCCCGACTCCGGTGCTGTGCGTTGCGCTGCTTTAACTGCTAAGCTTGGGCGACGCGTCACAGCGGCAGCAAGGAGCCAATCCATCACCTTCCTGAGGACACGGTTGCCACAGGTGACCAGTGAGCTCAAACCAGTGGTGTCCCCTGCCAGGATGAGCCCGCTTTCTGTGCTGCCTGGCACCGCACTGTCTGAACAGGCAGGTGACGTGGCTACTTTGCTCGCCGTAGGCAAAGCCCTGAGCTGACCCCGGCGCAGCCAGCATGGCCCGAGGCTTACAAGCAGTTGGTGTCGGAAGCAGAGCGAGCCACCCGTATGGAGGACGGAAAGAAAACCCCTCTGCGCAGCCCAGTGGACGGCCCTGTAAGGGCAGTGGCTGCCGCTGCCTGAGCGCCGTGCAGTGCGTGCTCCGCCTGCGGCTCCTTTCACTGCTGAGGGAGCCGTTTTTATTACAAAAGTGAAACATGGGTTCACTCGAGCACATTCAGAAAATGGGAACGTCAAGCAACAAATGTAAAGCAGTGCTGTGTGGTAGCGAGGACACGCCGCGGAGGAGATAAAACAACGTGCCGGAGGCAGAGGGCCACGGCGACTGCCAGCGACGGGTCCGGGAAGCCGCCAGGGTCCAGGGCGCAGGACTGGCCGCCCAGCCACGTCCGGGCGTTAAGGCAGAGAGGAGGCCAGACGGGAAGCGACATGGTCGGTGCGTGAGGAGCCCCTAGGCTTGGGCCCCCTTGGCTGCGGTAGCCTGGGGGAGCCCGGCTGCAAGGCAGACAGCACGAGGGTCGCCCCGGCGGGCTGCGGAGCGGCAGAGGGGGCCACGGCCCGTCCGCTGTCCGGCGGTGCTCGCGTCTCTTGAGCACAGGAACAAGGCCACAAGCCCAGAGCCGGGAAGGAGAAGCAAGAACTCCCGTGGCCACCTCAGAGGCTGGGGGGACAACTTGAGGTGCACGAGGGTCCGTGGTGCGCTCCCCAACAGGACATATGCTGAAATCCTGACCTTCCAGAGGGTGGGGCAGGAAGGGCGGTGTCCTGCCCGGAGCCCGCGCCCTGAGCTCTGGACGTCGTCTCCCGGGCCTTGTGAGACCAACCACACTCTGCCTCCAGAGCTTTCTGCTTGGTTTTAAAGCCAGGCGTCCAGCCCTGCTCTCCTCAGCCTCCTGGTCAAGTGGTCAGTGACCTGAAGACGCTGCAAAAGCTGGGGGTGCAGCAAGGCAGTGCCAAGAGGAAAAGCTAAAACTTCAAATGAACATGTTAAAAAAAAACAAAAAACCAGACTAGGGATGATGTTTGTGAAGCAAGAAAAAGAAAAGCGAAGGAAAGTGAGAGAGGAAGGAAGGACGTCACTGAGAAGAGCAGAAATCAGTAAAATGGCGAACAAACAGAGAGAGAGAAGCAGTCAAGAGTTGGTTCGTTAAAAAAATGATTGGCCACAACAGAGCCCGGAGGTCTTTGCCAAGCTTGGTAAAGTGGGAAAGTACCGATGGCCAGTATTAACCTCAGATCTCAGGGCAAAAGTTAGTAAGAGGAGAGGAGAGGACAGCCAACTTTATGCTGATAACATTGGCAATTTAGGTGAAACAACTAAATTTATTAAACCGATGAGTATTTGGAAAATCTGGATAGTTCACTGTCTTTTAAAGAAATCTGATCTATTAGCCAAAACCTTCCCAGAAAGAAGATTCAAGGTTCACGTGGGTTGACTGGTGAAATCACGTTAAAGGAAGAAATGCCACTAACTCCGAGTCCTTTCCGAATCCAAGCCATGAGCAGTCCTTCCTTGGTTTGGAATGCCTGCTCCGCTGTGCCACCAGAACCCACGTGAAAGCTGAGCCGAAGCTGAGCAGCTCCATTCATCACTGGCGGAATGTGGCCTCAGCGCCACACCCTGGGGAGGTGGGGACCAGAGAAGCCCGCACCAGCCGGCAGCCAGGAGCGGGGGTGGGGCCCCCAGGCCCCGCCAGGCGCCCGCGTGCTGGTGCGCTCCTGCCTGAGCTGGGCAGGGCGGGGCCTGGTGAGCGGCGGCCGTGGGCTCAGGCCCGGGTGGTTTTCAGGGTTTGTCACACGTCAGCACTAAATGGAGCACTCAATGGGGCTCCCTTGAGAACCCGTCTAAAACTAAGTGTCTCCCACCAGGAAAAGAACCTCAGCCTGACGGTGGGAGGCTCTGCCCGGGGGGGGGGGGGGGGGGGGTGGGGGAGGATTGAGCTCCTGAGGTTGCCAGGCTGCCAGGGCGGGGGTTGAGGGTGCTGGCTGGGGCCCTGCGGGAGCAGGCGGGCGGCCCCTCAGAGGGCCTGCAGGCGGGCCGTGGGGCTATGCAGGGAGCTGCAGCTCGCTGTGGTTGTGGAGGAGCGTGAGCAGCCCTAAAAGAGAGGGGTGGGGGGACTGAAGCGGAGGGTGCAGACCAGGGGTCGCCACATACAGTCCCTGCCCGAATTAAAAACAAGCGAACAAACCTCTTAAAAACGCGAAGCCATCCTTAGCCGGAGGGTCCCGGCAAAGCAGGCCTCGCCGCAGTTTGCCAGGCCCCTTGAAACGGAAGTGCGGGGAGGGAAGTTCAGGAAAAGGCAGCCTTTAAAAAGACTTTCTTTCATCATAAAGATAAGCGAGGATTTAGTAGCCATTAAGTAACAGGACTCAATAAATAAGGGAGCAAAAAGAATTGGAAATTAAAAGCCTGACACAGAGATGAAAAATCTGATAGCAGGGTGGGAAGACGGAGTCAGGAAGGGCCCAGAAAGCAGCACGCCCTGCCAGGCTGCCCGCTTCCAGCCCGCGGTGCCCTCCTGACATCCTGACACCGGCCCGGAAAAATACAGAAATGGGAGGCAAATGGGGTTTCTAGGACCGGAAAGAAGAACCGCAGGAGCTCCTCTGAATCAGCATGGGGGGCGGGCGGTGGGGGGGGGGCTGCGGTGGCCCCTCCCCCACGTAGCCACAGCTCTGGGCTTGGTGTTGGCCATAAACTCAAGCCAGATGCAAACAGAAAGAGGAAGAAAGAGGGAAATTTACAGGTCCACCCAACAGCGGGCGTCGGAGAGGAGCGAGCCGGCGCCACGGGAAAGATGCGTGGGGGCAGAGCCCAGACCCGCAGCCCGCGGCTCCAGGGCGAGCTGCAGCCAGTGGGCGAGCGGGCCAGCAGCCCGAGGCCTTGCCCTGGTGCGCACAGAGCTCCGGACGCGGAGGGCAGCGTGCCCTCCGGAGAGTGGCGAGAGGTCCGCCGAGCCCGCTGCGGAGCCGACCCCTGGGCAGGCAGGGGCCGCCTTCCAGACGGAGGCTGCCGCCACGGAGCCACGCTGCCCACGCCCCAAGGGCCGCCACCCCTCAGCCAGCTCCCAGATGCTCCTGGAGGCTGGCTGCCCCCAGCAGGGCCTCCGCGGCCGGCTGACTTACCAAAGCTTCCCCTGCAGAGCTCAGGGCGGCCGAGCTCAGGGCGGCCTCCGGTGCCCTCTCAAGAGGCCAGTTTGCTGCCGCCCTGCTTCACGGTTTGAGGCAGGAATGCACGTCCCTTTCCCCCAATTTGCTGTTAGTCTTCCCCTTGTCTCCCAGCCACGAGGGTGCCTAGGCGCATTCAGAGGACCGAGCACTTTCCGAGGGCAGTGGCCCCAGCCAGCCTCGGCCTGGGTGCTGGACTGTGGCCGGAGCAGTCCCCTTGCTGACCTGCCCATTCGTGGGTGCCGGTGGCGGCACTGGGAAGCCCTGGTACTCTACTGTCCCCAGAGCACCCAGAAGGCTCCCTCGGGCCGCCAGCAGGGACCCCTGACACCAGCTCTTTCTTGTCGCCCAGATGAGCTGGGCAAACCTGCGGGCCGCGTTCCCTGCCCTGAGCCCGGCGCAGCTGCACCGACTGCTGACCCAGTACCAGCTGGCCTCGGCGATGGGCCCCATGAGCGCCTGGGAGCCGGGCGCCCAGGACAGCCCTGACGCCTTCAAGTCAGGTGAGATCCCTCCTTGGGCAGGAGTAAGGCCGGTGGACACTGGTGGGGACAGGGACACCTCTGCCCCCGGGACTTCCCTGGAGGGTGCACTCAGACCTGGGCCATCGTCCTCCTTGGGGGCCCTGCCCTGCCCCCCAACCTGGGATCTGGGACCTCCATATCTGGGGATCAAAGAACAGTTCATGCCCAGTTGCCCAGGTCCAGGCCCGGCCTGAAGGTCCCCTCAGCTCCCATGGAGCCTCAGGCTTCAGGCTCGGCTGGCGCTGGACCCCCGGGCCGAGGGCGGTGTCTCCAGGGGGCGCCATCTTGAAGCCCGACTGGGACTGTTCCTGTGCACGCCACGCCGTGCCGCGCCTCGCCTCACTCCCGCACCCGCGGATGCATGTGTGCAGACGTGCACCTGCACACGTGGCTATATGCCCGCCCGTGTGCACACACATCCACACACGTGAGCTGTGTGCACGTGACACGCACCACATCTTGTACCTCCGCGTGGATGCGTGTGCGTGCGCCCGGTGCCCGCGGCTGCATGTGCTGCCTGAGTCAGGCACATCTCTTCCCTGCTGTACACTGTTATCGCACGTGACCCCCCAACACTCAAGGATGACAAGATCCAGGTGGCAGTGGAGCTTCCCGCGCTGTCTCCCGTGGCCCCCAGGGACCTGTGCCCCCCGGGGGCGCCACCTGGTCCTTCCCATTTACTTGCCCATTTCTGGGGCCCTCAGCATGGCTGGCTCTGTGCCAGGAGCAGCGGCCATGCCATCTGTTCTGCTGTCACTGGGAGGTGTCATGGTCCTGTGGGCAGGCCCCGGTGACGCTTGTGGGCGCAGGGCCTGGGCCACAGGAGCCCCTGGCAGGCAGGTGTGGCTGCAGGCGCAGAGGTTCAAGCTGAGGGAGGTGGGCAGGCAGTGGGCAGACGGGGCTGCTCAGCAGGGCAAGCTTCAGACTTGGGGCCTCGTCCTGTGCACTCGCTGGGACCCAGCCGGGGGTGGGGGTCGCCGGGGCCCGGGCCCGGCCTGGCCAGGCCGTCACGCCAGCCCGCCCCCGCCCGCAGAGGACGTCCTGGAGTCCTACGAGAACCCACCCCCCATCGTGCTGCCGAGCGAGGGCTTCCAGGTGGACCTGGACGCGGACTGCCTGGACGACGGCATCTACCAGCACCTGCTGTACGTCCGCCACTTCCTGTGGAGCCTGCGCAAGCCCAGCCCCTGTGCGCCGGCCCAGCCCGAGGGCCAAGAGGTACTGGGCCGGCTCCGAGCCTGTGGCCGTGGTGGCCCCCGGGGGGGCACAGGCACCTGGAAGCGGGCGGCCGCTGCGCCTGTGCCCTGGCCTTCTCGCGCCCAGGCGGCGGGTGCAGAAGGCTGGTCCCCCCGCTCTGACCTCGCTGCCCTCCCTCCCCAGGGCCGATCCTCCATCCCTGAAGGGCCCCTGGAGGCTGGCCGTGGGTGCCGTGGGGGTTCCCAGGCTGGCCCCCTGCACTCGGACCCCTCGTACCTGCTCACGCCTCCCAGCACGCCCCTCGACCTGGAGCCAGGTGGCGCCGACTGGCCGGAACCTCGCGGCACATGTGGGAACGCCGCCCTCGAAGGCAGGAGGGGCAGCCCCCGGGGCACAACTCCGGAAGGTGAGAGCGGCCCGACTCGCCCCCCCCAGCGCCCGCTGCTGTCCTTTGGGTGGGTCCACATCGGGACCTGGTGACACGCTTGACTGGGCTTGCAGTCCTGCCCACGACGCCCGCAGCCGTGGACGCGGGGGCTCGGCCCTGGGCGGCTGGCAGCTGACCGACGGGGGACCAAGAGTCCGGAGGCGCCCAAAAGGCTCCGCCCAGGGAAGAGAGGGAAGGGCTGGCTCAGGTGGCCCGGGCGACCTGCCCCGCCGGCTCCATGCTGGCCAGGGGCCAGGGCGAGGCCGTCCGTGAGCAGGGCTGGGCCAGAGGCACAGTGCGGGGGCCAGGAGCGCAGGAGACGGTGGGGGGGGGGACACCCCTAACTCTGGTCCCGGGTGGGCGTCCTGCTGGTGCTCCCAGAGACTTTGCGGTCTGGAGAAGCAGGCGTGGGCCTGACTGCCCCTTGCTCCCACCCCCAGGAGACGGTGCAGCCCCCCTGGAGGAGCCCCCTCCGGCCCCCTCCAGCGTCACCTCCAGCACCGAGGACTCCTGCTCCGTCTTCGTGGTGGAGCTGCAGCGCGGCCCCTCGGGGCTGGGGATGGGCCTGATCGATGGCATGGTGAGTCTGCAGGCCGCCCTGCGCCTCGCCAGGGAGGCCCCACGCGGGGTTAAGAGTGAGGTGACATCTGAAGGGCCTCGGGGCAGCTGCTTCCAGCTCCATCCGCAGGCCTCGGGGTGTCTGGGCCGCGGGCACAGTGATGGGGAAGTGCCGTTCTCACAGCTGACTTGGTGACCGTGCTCATGAGCCCAGCCTGGGCGAGGCCAGGCCTCGGGATGGGGTCCTCGCGACACTCCAGGTCCCGGGTGCTGAGGCCTCCGCCTCTCCCCAGCACACACCGCTGGGCGTCCCGGGGCTCTACATCCAGACCCTGCTTCCGGGCAGCCCGGCTGCGGCCCATGGCCGGCTCTCACTGGGAGACCGCATCCTGGAGGTGAACGGCAGCAGCCTGACCGGCGTCAGCTACCTGAGGTACGCCCCCACCCAGCACCCACCTGGCCTGTGTGGGGGCAGCTGTCAGGGTGGGTCGGCCGGCGGCGCCTGCGGGCAGGCCTCCTGTGAGTGACTCACTTAGAGGAGAAGTGGGGCACCGAGCCCCCACCTCCCCTTAAGGCCTCTGAGGACAAACCGGCCCCCTCCGGCTCCCTCACGCCCTCTCGCACTTGGGTGCTGCCCTGCCCGGTGGCTGGGCCCCTTCCCGGAGGTTGGAGGCCGGTGACATGGCCCGCACAGCCCCGCTCCCGGCTGGGGTGGAGGGCCGGGCGGCCAGGCACCTCAGGCGCTGTGCCGTCCCCATCCCCTCCCTGTGCAGAGCCGTGGACCTGATCCGACACGGGGGGAAGAAGATGCGCTTCCTGGTTGCCAAGTCTGACGTGGAAACAGCCAAGAAACTCCGCTTCCGCACGCCCCCTCCCTAGGGCGCCCCGCGCAGCTGCCCCTGTGCATAGTGTACATCTTAGTGTATATTTTATTTATATGACAGATAACACTAAGTTGTGGTGTTTGTTACAGAGCTTTTACGTTTGAAGATTTCGCGGGAGAAGTCTAGATTAATAAACTATCTTTCATAAGCTTAGTGAGAGTGGTGCCTGGACAGGTGGGGGCTGCACAGGGTCTCCCAGGGGGTGCAGGAGAACATGGGGCCATGGTGCTGGCTGTGGGTTTTAGCTGCCTCTCTTTTGCCCTCCTCCCAAACAGGGAGCAGGGGCCACCCCGGGAAAGGGGTTAGGGCCATCTGCCCTTGGCAACCACGGGCTGGAAGTCCCAGGTTGACCACTGTCCTCGATCTCTGCTCACTAAAGCCACACTTGCCCCTACCCGGGCCCCTCATCTGTGACCACTGCCTCTTCCCCTTGGCCGTGGTCCCCTGACCCTGGCAGGAGGCCTGTCCCTTCTGCACAGTGGCTGACCCCATGGGGGACAAAAACGGGGGTGGGGAGCTTGGTCAGGGCATCGCACACGCCGCCCTCCTCATGCACCCAGCCGTGGCCTCTTTAACAGAAAGACCCTGGGGACGACGGGTCCCCCGGTATGAAGTGTGTGTGTGGGGGGTATGAAGTGTCGGGGCGCAGGGCCCCAGCTTCGCGGTGCCCCAGGTGGGCCTCAGCGCCAGGCCTCTCGCAGCCCCGCACTGCCCCCTGGTGAGCTCAGGCGGGAGCGCACCGTGGCCCAATCCTGGTGCCCCGGCTCAAGGCGGCACCAGATTCCACCTGCTGCCCACTGCCAAGTTACCGAAATGCTGAATGGGATTTATTTTCAAAAGTAATTTTAAATGTATGTCTGAACCCGACAAAAAGAAATCCTTAGATCCCTAAATCAAAATGAGGGCGTACGTCAGTCACCCTGGCTGGAAGCAAACCCTGAGCACGAATCGCCAGGGCCAAGCAGGGTGGGCGGGCGGCTGCGCTGGCAAGGAGCGTGGTCTGAGCGCCGGAACCCGGGGGCGCGCGGGCTCGGGCG